TTGCATCTGGAGCTACAACCATCTGTACATTGTTGACCTCTGAATCCATTCTTACAGCCATTCGCACAACTGCCGGTGCCTTGATCGCACACAGGTGTACATTCCCCTGTTGCACTCATGTCAGGCTGACAAAATGGAAAACAGTTTTCCGAACAAGGAGTGTCACATTTGTTTCCGTGAAACCCATTTATGAATCCTTCTGCGCAACCTGAAATTGAACACTTTCCAACACAGTTCGTGCAGTCATTTTCACAGTTCTCCCCAGTTAAATGGATGTCACATTTCTGACATATCCCTGAAGTGACGTTACAAAGTCTACATCTAGGCACTTGGTTATCCGAGCATTGTTTCTTGCAGACACCATTCCTGTAACATCCTTCAGGACAGGTATTCGGGCATTCATTCTCACAATATTCGCCTACATGGCGTTCTTTACACTCTATACAATTGCTTGCATCTCGTTTGCTACATTTTAAACAGTTTGATATGCATGGAATGGTGCATAGTCTCCCCGAAAAGCCATTTTTGCAGCCATCTTTGCAACCAATGTCTCCTTCAGTATTAACTGTACAACTTCCAAGGAGACAGTTATTAACAGTTGGACAAGCCGTTGTAGCTGTCTTAGTCGTTGTACATATTGGATCCGTACATTTTTCACCGATATATATGCCTGAAAGGGGACAAATGAGATCATCAAAATGGGTTTACTCATACTAATATAAATACAAAATTTACAGAGGCTGTAGTTCACGTATAAGCAACGTCATAACCACGAACACTCTGACGATGCCACTTCCGGTTTTGAGAAACATATTCCTATTGCTATGAGAACAGAAACCCCTTGTTTCTATACTCATGTGACCTGTCATTTGACCAAAACCAAAAGTTGTTAAATAACTGAAATTCCCAAATTATACATAGTTTCGATCTTAATTTATCAGCTGTTATTTTATGAACAATTTAAAACATTTGTCTGTAAACGTGTTCACTAATAAAGTATCTCGGCCTCAAGAATTCTTTCCGTTGGATTTAGATGTTATCTACTGGTTATACAGAAGTCTGGAACCGATTCACTTCGACCTTTAAAACCTGTCATTTGACCAAAACCAAAAGTTGTTAAATAACTGAAAATTCCCAAATTATACATAGTTTCGATCTTAATTGATCAGCTGTTATTTTATGAACAATTTAAAACATTTGTCTGTAAACGTGTTCACTAATAAAGTATCTCGGCCTCAAGAATTCTTTCCGTTGGATTTAGATGTTATCTACTGGTTATACAGAAGTCTGGAACCGATTCACTTCGACCTTTAAAACCAATAGAATTGTGGATACATTTTCCTTGATCAAAAGAAGAATCCAACATGACCGCCGCCAGAAGAAAGAGATGTTGAAAGATGGTTTTGATAAATGGATAGGTACAGAAAATGGAGGTTTGGACGACATGTTCCAAAAAGATGGCTATAGTGTTTGACCAGAACCTTCCATCCTGTGTGGTTGCCAAACCATTTGTTTTATTGTCAAGGAACTTAGTCAAAATGTGATTGGCATTTTCTGTTCCTGTCGTACAAGTTAACGCTGTTATTGAGTTAGCAGTTTTGGCGATACATACTGATCATGCCTTTTAAAATGAACTATTCATGGGTAAAATCCCTTTAGTCAACTGGCCAATGTATTGGTACTCATTGAACTTCTTAAAAGTATGACAAACATGAGAATGATTAACCAGATAATATATAGTAACACAATAATGCATATGATATCACTAAAAGTATCCCCACAACTAAACATCTTTAAATAATTGTTGCCTTTAAAATAGACTGTGGTGCCCGTTCCGGTCAAAGTATCCACCTCCGCCTAAGGTTCAGATGCAATGATTGAAATGCACATAGACATCACAGAGATTCTTGAATCTGTTACATGCTCTTGTGGATACTATTACGAGGATCCTACACATTACTTCCTTTCATATCCCAACTACTGTAATCTTCGTCATGATATGTACTACTACATAAAATGATATGACTTGGATTCAGTATTGTATGGAAATGCTAAAAATCTCCTGCAACTAACCTTGCTATTATACAATGTGTTCATTTGTTTATTGTAAAGTTTGAAAGATTAAAAATTTAAATGTGTCTTCTTAACAATTACATCAATTTAATAGTGTTATTATGTGTGATTTCCTGGTACATAGAGGTAGCTAGATATGTCTACAAGCGCATATGTGTTAATGTACATATATGCATAGAATCGCCGGTTTGGTTAAGTACTGGTATATATATATATATATATATATATATATATATATATATATATATATATATATATATATATGTGTGTGTGTGTGTGTGTGTGTTTGTGTGTGTATTTGTGTGTGTATTTGTGTAAGACTTGTATATTGTGTACTTGTGCATCATGATATTTGCAACAGTAAGTACACTTATATAAATTTATTATTTTATTGATAATTTATTCATATTAATTGTGAGTGAGTGAGTGAGTGAGTGAGTTTATGCTTTACGTCATATCGTGACGATTATTAATTGTGAAATGTCCATGGAGGGAGAGGTCTTCAAATTGGCTTAACCTGTCCACCGATGCCATATCCCTTTTCGGAAATAAATATTGTTTAAATCACAAACATGGAAAGAATCTAACCAGCGGCTATTCTATCATCAAAGTTTTGAAAAAAACCTCTTAATGATAAATAGAACTTTATTGGTGTTGGTTATTTTCACGATGTTAAACAAATACAACCTTGTCTATTCGTTCCCTTTGTTGCAATACGCTTTCGTTCAGTGTACCCGTGATATATTTTCACAATGTGATTTTAAAGATTCATACCCGTATTGAAGATGATTGTGAAGGCAATATAGATCCATATCCGTAAAAGGTACCTGAAATAGAAATAAAATAATATAAATCTATTTTGTCTATACAATAACCTTTCATGGCCAAATTACTGTTTTATAGTCATATACTTAGTCACTTGAAGCATTTTGAGAATTAGTGTAAACCTTCTATATACAATCTGAAACAGTTAAAAACAATAGTTATTTCACATAAAGCTGTGTCGGGTATTACCGAACAAAATTTAATTTCCGTATATATTTTACCACATCATCCATCATTACGGCTATTGGTATGCGCATCCTATTAAAACTTAACTTCTTCTTCCGGAAGACACAGAAAGTCTATCAAAAACGAAGAACGGGAGAAATATCCGAAATCAGACACCGGGCATGACATTCATGCACATGTTTCGAAGATTGACCATGAAAATGTTGTGATAATAAGTTTCGTCAACACTGGGATGTCCTTTTACAAACTTAACCTCCAGTATATCTTCTTATCTGGCATCGTCCAAGGGCATAAGATATTCTTTCGATTGTTCAATGGGAAATATAAAGTCGGTTTAACACTGTTTCGTCTTTTCTGCAAATTCCAAACAAAGCCGCTTCATCGCGCTTCACAGGCTTCAGCGGCAATCTGTTAGTTAACTCATTGTTATTTCCCTTTAAATATCGGGAAACGATTGCATAAATGCAGCCAACATGTGTGGATGACTCAAAGTCCGTGCATTTCGGAGATTTTGATTTCGCACTTTATGTAGAAAACTCGTGTTAAGACAAAAATTCAGGAAGGATGCACACAAGAGGTATAAAAGTTGAGCACATCGATGGGAACGTGTCACAACTGAAAAAAGAACGCTCCAAGCATGTCTTGATTAACTGCAGAAGAAATGGAGATTGGGTCGGGTTGCAACCCGTATAACTTATTCAAAACATTTGCACTGCCGCTAAATGAAATAAATGAATAAAGAAATGCAATTTTATTGCTAGATACCACTGTGCAGGGATTTATATTTGTGCGTATTTGCAAGAAAGGGGACATTATTATTTTCCAACATTCACTACATATGTTATATTGTTCAGTAAAACGGGGGCTTGATTATGTTTTTCGGGGAAATCCCGTCCCTCCCCGCCCCCTGAGAATCAAATGGTTGCTCCCTTATGACCCCGTATGTGTTTGAGACAGGAGTTTGATAGTAAAAGCAGGTCATTATTGAAATCGGAATTTTGGATACCTGAGCTATTACACCCTTGGAACGTACTGTATTATGTAAGTTCCCGAAAAAGTAACAGTCAAGTTCAGAAATTTCGGGTACTTTGGTTTCCGATTGATTACATAGACTATAATGAAAGCAAACGATATCATCGTATATCAACGCTACTTCGGCAATAAACATGGCCAAAGGTGTTCCCGAGTGTTATTAGGAATAGCATGACATAGGTGTTCAGCAAACCGACAAGGGCAAAACGTGAGGACAACGCAAACTATCGATCTGGAACAAGTGTGAGGGACCACAGAAACACGTCTTTATATGCGAATATGATTCACATTGAAAGGTTCGATGTATACAGTAGTTGTTTTTCACTTTAATCAGAACAAAGTAGAAATTAGGTGGGTGTCGCTGTTCTGTAATGCCCGTCACCTAGTTCATGTATTCTGTTTCAGTTTTTTCTCGCTTGAACTGAAATATATGTTGGAAAAACATTATTGTGTACTATTACAACTACAACTGCAACAAAACACTTACATTTTATGCAACCGCTTCTTTCTGTGGACGAAATCGATCTGAGATTAATCGGGAAATAATCATTTGACCGTCTATTTGCTGACATAAAACCGAATGCGTAGTACATTTCTGTGTATTTGCTTCTTGTTTATACTTCCCGTTCATCGATTGTATAACTGTTTGTACGTACATGTTTGTACGTACAATCCCTAGGCCAAAACACAACTCACAATTTTGATAATCGTAAAGATGATAACAATCATCAGTTTTGACTCAGTTACTTACGAGTGTGACATTTGACAAACTAATGACTATGTCAAACAATTTCCGAAGTAATACTCTGTACAAGACCTTTTCTAATTACCTACATGCTTTGTGTCTTTTGAATGTGGAACCAATACATTTTTCTTGCTTACAGCGTACAACTGTTAACATGGAATTACATCAACTGCTTGCAATAGCCATATGCATGTACCTACAAAGTGAGTATGTTTGAACGTATTGTATCATTGGTACACATAATTTGACAATTCACCTCTCCTGAAAATATGTATACTGAACTCATATACTAACGATAGATGGGGAAGGGTTTTATGAGATATTTTAAGTTATCTTAAGGATGTGTATGAAGATTGTTTGCATCGGATAATTGATATTATTATAAGGATGTGTATTAACACTATCTAAATTATTCTAAGACAAATACGTATTTTTTATTATCTTAATATTTCCCAAATGGGACAAAGCAGGTGGTACGTCTAAATGGTACTGCGCTCTACCGCGCCAAACTTTGCTGTAGAGGCATAGAAGGTACTCAGTCATTCATCGTATTCACCGTTTCGCGTACACTATGTAAATAATAGTATGTTATTGCATTAAACATTTTAAGCACAAATGGATAAAACGTTTATCTATAACAAACCATCTGTGCTATGGGATTTTATTCCCCTTTTTCCCTACATGAAAGGTTACATCTGTGACGATTTGACTTTCAAGTCAAATATGCTATATATTGACTTAGATCATGTCGATGGAACACACCCATTTCGAGTCGTGCTATGATTACAAAATCACAGCAGCAGACATCCTTAAAAGCACACGATGTTTCACATCAAGTTATGACTTTGTAGTAGGACTAATCTCGTGTGTAGTACATGTACATGTATATCGGAGTATGGTAGATTGGTGTATTCATGCTATTTCTAATCCAACTTTTATTTTACATTTTCTAGGTATCGCTATTGTTAACGGTATAGACTACCATTGCCTGTCGGTATCTGAGTCCGGGACATGTGAGGAATGTTATATTGGATGGTATGGTGGTTACTGTGAAAAGATGTGTCAACACTGTGACACGGGTGGATGTCACAAAACAACAGGAGTGTGTATTCAGTGTGAAACTTGCTATTACTCTACAAACTGTTCACTGACATGTCCACCTCAGTGTAGAGAGAGCTATGGTGACAGTGTCTTCTGTGACCGTACAACAGGGAATTGTCTTGAAGGCTGTAAACCCACATGGTGGGGGGACAAATGTGAACACAATTGTGGAAAACAGTGTACTGATTCACAGTGTTTCTTTTACGATGGGTCATGTGCATCTGGATGCAAGGACGGGCTTTCCGGGTCTCATTGTGACAAAACATGTTCAGTGGGATGTCTCCACGGCAACTGCAGTCAGCTGACGGGGATATGTCTTCATGGGTGTAAACCTGGCTTCTATGGGCCCTCCTGTGACAGAAACTGTACTGATAAATGTCTTGATAGAGATTGCAGTACAGAGATTGACGGAGACACTCCTCGCTGTACCCACGGCTGTGTACCTGGCTGGAAGCCTCCTCTCTGCGATATCCCTTGCCTACCTAACTGTCTATCCTGCACTGAAGCTGGGGGGTGTACATCGTGCAAGGCAGGGTTCACAGGAACTAGCTGTGAGAAGAAGAAATGCAACTGTTTAAGGTCCTGTTGTAGCGATGACAGAATTTGCGATGGATGTCTTGACTGGTGGCAGGGACAGACCTGTGAGTTGGCCTGCTCTCAAAACTGTCTCAATTGTCAACAGAAGAGTGGCAACTGCAAAACACGTCGCCAAGGGTTGACATATGATGGAAGAAGTCAATGCACCTCCATGATCGATGGTAACGGAACCTCTCAATGTAGGGGATATGCTGGTATTTGTAGTGTCCATTGCTAAACATGTAACACGTACAATGGAAATTAATCATAGTAATTACAGGACATGTTGGTACAGAGTTGCATCAATTTCTGTTATTGGAAAAAGTAACGTGAAAATGTTCCATTATAATAAAAACGTGAAGATATCCGTAGACATTTAATCACTTTACATTGAATATATACAAAAATACTAACTAATGGGGATCTAGTAGTTTTTTGTAATACACTTAATGAGTATTTTTACAAAGAGTAGGTTATTAGTAGGTATTTCAGTTCATTGAAGTTTGAAAGATTAAACTATATTCATAATCAAAATGTCACGCACCCAAATACAATATATTGTACTGAAACCTCACATATACAACACCTATGATCAATATCATTATGGCCGTGAAAGACAAAAATCACGTGATTGTTTGAGGGTTGAAAATCTATCTACTTGCAGAAGACATAAGTTGATACAGACAAACAAGTGAGATTTATTTCCTTATTATATGTTACTGTTTTTCATACAGCCACTGTCACCGACGTCCCAACTCAAAGGCAAGAATCACATGTTCCCATTGTGATTATTTCAACCATAGCCTGTCTTCTTGTAATCGGAGTTTTAATCGGGATCTCTATCGGGTTAGTTGTTGATTATGTTTTTTAACTGACAAACACGTATTCCAGTTTTCTTCCACGGCATTAAGACTAGTAAGCGTTCATAAATTAAAGATCCTTATATGCCTGGAAATGTGTTTTGAAACCGATAGAGTGACCAGAAATTCACCATACATATTAAAAACCTTCCGGGCTTATGAACCATTGAAATTGGGGTACGCACTTGTATATGTGTTTGTGTCACTCTGCAGTGTAAAGTTTATACAGGATGCTGAAGGTTACTCTTATTTAATTATCATAACACTTCACAATTAACACGACATAGTGACAAAAGTTGGTTGTTCTGTCATACCCGGTGTTGCAGATTCCGAGGACGCATTCTGTCATCATGCATCAAACACGCCGAGGATGAAAACGCTCCTGATAAAGAGGTACAGTAATGTTTTATCATCTGAATAATAGTTCCTGCTGGCGCTGCGTAATGAGAACGTACAGATATTGTCTTTTTTTTATTCGTAAAATGAATCTGTCGAATTCCCAGGTACGGCAGTTCAGTGGTTCATGGGACTGCTAACATTGCTGTCACTTCATGGCTGAAACAATGACATGCGAGGTTAAACTGTAACTCATTCACTCACACCTAATATTGTAAAGACAAAGACACATTCACAAATTGACGAACATGGTAACGAGCAAGTCATCAAAATATAATCTTACTTTTGTGATATACCACAATATTGATTTGTATAGCAAAGTCAACAGCAGCAAAATCTTTTAATGCTAAAATATTCATTAATTCGATTCCATTGGTGTTACGCATTAATAACGTTTTTAATTGTAAGCCATTTTTTTTTACGTATTCACAAGCAGGAACGTATGACAATCAGTGCATCAATCGGTCAACTGAGGTTATGTCAATAGTTCGTTTATGTCATTTGCCGAACTCAGTGATCGAAAAAATATGTGTCTCTGCCACCGCTGTACCAATGATACTGTTACTTAAAATACACGTTTACAACAACGAAGACATCTGGCTTTATGGAGAAAAAACCAAACTCGATTTCCAAAATGGATGTGATTGGTGTAGGTAAGCTGGTTTATTTTTCATGCGTGAGTGCGCGTGTGTCTGTCCGTATGCGTGCGCGCGTGTGTGTATGCGTATGCGCGTCTGTGTACGTGCGTGCATTGATAATCACAGTCACTGTTGGTAGAATTTCGAATGATTGTAAAATTAATTATACGTTGCTGTTTAATGAGTTCATTTAAGATAATCACAAAAGTGTCTTGAGACCAGTACCAAATATATCTAAGGATGCGTGTTTTTTCGTCAATTCTAGTTGTGTTCATGTCATGAAACGACACACTACCAGATAAGATACTTTGCCGTTTACAAAATATGAAAATGGTTATACCAGGGAGGCCAGTGTTTTGGTTCTCTATACAAAATTCAATGAATCAAGTGTTCGCGTATAACTAAGATGCGGACGATTTGTTTAAGCTTGACGTAAATCACCACATAAACAATCGTGTTTAAGGAAGTGACATAGCACTAACCCATTCGGTTTTTGTCGTAAGCAAAATGCGATGTATCGTAAAACGAGAGTTTGATAACAACCGCCGTTTTTCGAACGATCTGACTTTACTCTGTGATTTTCGGTGACAACCCTTCATAACGGCGATAGGTTGATTTAGAATATAGATCATATCGGCCATTTGCTACGTTGCCTAATAAGATCTATGGGGAACAGCTCACAAGACACTTCCCTGTTATAAATAACGTCGTCCAATAAACGAGGTCAGCAAGTTACAAGCGCATGTTCGAATCTCCAGAAATGACGTCTGGTTCTTCTTTGTTCTTTGCGATTTATGGCGTAGCTATCTTATGCATAAATATAAATGATTGCAGTAGCAAAATCATACAAGCAGACATCTTTCAACATTCTATTTTCCATATGTTGTAGGCGCCGGAATTGGTAACAATCGACTTGCTCGCACAAGATCGTGACCTATAAGAAGATGTATAGTTTGGTAATGAGTGTTAATTAGTTCCAACATAGTCACTAAAAGGTCTATCTTGAGACAATCGAGAGTTCTAATTTGTCAGGGTCGATCGACCAACATATCTACTTTTAATATCATCTTTTTTCATCAGCACAAACATGTCATTTTGATATATATCAGAATTGTGTATCGTATATCATGCATGATATTCCTTACAGTTTAAGACCCATTTTGTGATCTTAAGGCTTAACATACGACTTAATGAAAGTACTTGACATGTTGATGCATCACACGGTTATAGTAACTGTTGGTATCATGCTCTAGATCTGGACGTTCATGCATAAGTTTTCTGCACTATTTTCATGTTGAAATCAGTGTGTATCCAGATTAATACTGTGGTGACTGTATACACCAGACCTTCAGCTGCCTCGAAAGACTTTGGTCTACAGAACATATGGAGTTATCCGGAAACAAGAGATATATTAATATTTGAAATATGAGTACAACGCTATATATGACTAATGCGTGTAGTATATACAACACCAAAACTCGCTGCAAGTCATCAGTGCATGTTAACAACACATCTACACATATATACTGCTTCAGGGTGTACTTGTTGCCATATTTATCGGCAAGAGTCATCTGTCTATGGTAGTCTAGTTTTTATTATAGAACACAAATACTGAAAACAATCAAATTTACATTTTAAATACTGCACTGATTCCTGATTCCTGAATTTGTATCTACAAGCAAACTATTGTCAGATATATCTCAATACCAACGACTGCGCATAACATAAATGAAATAATACACCTTCTTGGCGTAAGGAGTAAAGACATAAAAAAATTCCGAGCGAGGCCTTACACTTTTAGCAAAAACTCATGTTACCATATGCATGTCAATGAGGAAAATGCCAGCTCATGTCAGTAGATGTCAATCAATATATCGATCGATCTACGTATGTACAACTGCAGTGTTCGTGTTCCGGATCCCTTGGCATAATATATCCACGTTTGGATGAAACGCTGTCGAATTGTTACATTGAAAGGGAGAAATACTCAGCATATATGATCAACTATTGTTTACATGTGTGACCACTGACAAAACATACTCTTGGGGAGCATATTACGTCTTTTTTTATTTTACATGAACATATTTGAAGATGGAATTACAATATGCCGTATGTATGCCGTGATTAGTATTTTAGATCTTCTACATATTCAATGAGTATTATCACCTTAATGACGGGTACTACAATGTACTTACATCTATAACAGTTTCCTTTCTAGAAGTGAGTGTATGTTAGGGTATCCATATCTACTGTTTGTGAAACATGCCAATAAGCAGGTATCGACCTGCTGTCCTGTTGTACCCTATGTTACCACAAGGGTCGTAACACCTGATTTTTGACCAGTTGGATTGTCCACCAAAACCAAAACACCACTGTTGCAGTTATCCAATTGATTTTTTGATTTTTGATTTTCAGTTATGTGATTCTTCAACCGACATTTTCGGTAGATGTATACAGATTTTGTTTATGTTTCGAAAGTTCATTTTTTGTTTGACATATTTTGTCTGTGAGTGTAGTGACATTCTTTCTCTCTGTAGCTTTCATTCATTTTTCTGTTTTCAGGTTTTGGTTATATCTGGTGCATTTCCGCATTGCAAATCTATACTTCGTGCGCAACCCCCCTGTCAGCCTTTGTGAAAAAAACATATTCTGTAAAGTGAGTGAGTGAGTATGGTTTTACGCCGCTCACCAATAAGCTTAATGAATATAAGACCAAATCTTTGTATGTTGTAACATGTTTATTAATGACGAATCTATAAAAAAAAGTAATTGAAACATGAGTCGAGGGTACTCAAGACATCTAATATTTCCATACAGGAAATATGTTCTGCAGTGGTAAATGCAGAAACAATGGCAATATATTTGCTCCAATACGCATTCAGCGTTCATATTAGATTTCTAAAGCACAATTTAAACTTAGGGAGAAGAACTGTTTCAATCAAAATCCTGATTGTGATTTCAACTGAGATAACCAAATTGCCCTCCGAGCGACCGTCCACTATTACACAATGTAGAAATCCCTTTACTAATATACTAAACGTATTTCTGCATAGGTCGTTGCTGGTGATGCATTAAAATGTAACTGAACTGTTTGAGAGTTGCCATGTTTATCGACTCCAACTAAGTATTCTTTACTGACAGTCTGCAGCATAAACTAGCATGGTGTATTCCTCACCAAGCCATTCCCACCTGCTCTTTGGTGATGATATGTATATAGTGAAATGTGTAAAAACTATTTTAAAAGACATGTTACTGATACCCTGATGATACCCTTAACTTCATAGGTGCAACATATTGACTAAATTAGTGTTATAATGGCTTGCCGTCTCAGATCGTATCATTTAGATCATGTCACTACTGAAATCCCATTTGTACACTTTCATATCCACTGTTTGTGCGAACATGTTACATGTACAGAAAGGTTTAACAAAATGTCTCAAATATTCTCTGAAACAATGTCACATTCAATAGCACTAAATAAAAAACACCTTTTCATTTGAAGAGCATTGTACCCTACACAAAACGTGTTTTAACCAGTATTCGAATCATAATGGAATGTTTATGAAATGAAATGCTAGGGATAAAAAATGTGTATAAACTTCACACATATTATAACTGATTTGTTTCATTTGCTAATATTCTGCCGATTCTTGAACTATGTTTCAGTTCAAATTCAGTTTATCACCTATGGTAGATTACTTATCCTATAATTAAAGTGAACACCCGGTCTAAAAGTTAGTATTAGCACATATGCGCACTTCATGCCAGATCTAGGTGTCCATCCGACTTAATTTGTCTATTCTTGTTGGTACATGACCGCCTATTATGACCCTGTCCTTGAAACAAACTACATTTTATTTTCCACGGACTTCTCCTAAAACTCTGAGAAGAAACCATTCTGTTTTGTTTTAGCATAACCTGCTTCAGTGGTTCCTTACTCCTGTGACATGTTGAGCGGAAGAACCACGATGTAACACTGGCGTTTAACTTTTCAAAGCCTTGCTGTAAAAAGCATCTCAGATTTCCATGAAGTCTTATCATATCACAGACATGGTATGCTAAGATATGCATGTAAGGCGTCACGTCTTTAGTTTGGTAAACCATCACAAGTGTTCGTACCCATTGCTTGCACCTTTCATTAAGGGAGACAACTACACACTCCTCAAAAGAACCCTTCCCAAGAATGGAGTAGATAGATGAGAATTCACTCCACAGAAAGCTGATATCCTTCACTTTGGGATGATTAGGAAGAAAATCTGTAATGACTATGTGCTGGGAAATCCTTTTATGTTCTGGTCCGGTAAAATCACGGAAAATGAATCTTCCCGAAGCTTTATCATTCTTAAAATGAAATTCCACCCCAAGGCCCTGCACAAATCTTTCAAATCTGGAGACATTGCAACACCTATCTCTGTTGTACACACTATTACACCTTTGGACATTGCCCAAAACTCTCAACTCTGTGATAAGATGCTTTACCAATTGATGCGATATGCGCAAAAACAAGTGAAGCAGATCTGGAACTCTTCTATTGATTGAAATAAAGTCAAACAGGGGAGTTGAACACAGTTAAAGTTATGTGACTTTGTTGCCATCATAGATATTTCCTGCACAGTTCTTTTTCCCTGAGAAACGTCACTAACTGACCACTGCATAGTGGTGTCATATCGGTCTTTTGATGGACATTTACACCACACACAACTAACTGTAGTTGCAAGCACATGATGATATTCCTGAGACCATGTTCAGAAACTTAAGATCACCACCCAGAAGAAAGTCACCTCTAATATTTGTCCAAGTACACCTACATGGTCTAATTCTCTGGCTTCATCAATGATTTCTGTCAGTGCATTTGAAACATTCTGGTACGTTTTCTTTCCCTGAAAATACAGCGAGTAAGTAATTGCTATCAACAGATAGACAGTTTTCCTCCTCCAGTATGGTGAACCCGAAATTTATTAATTTTTTTGTCCTGCCAAGTTCAGTACCATCACCAGTTAGTTTAACATGCAGATGTTTACTTTCAAGAAACTTCTCTTTAGCCCCTGTTGTCAAAATGTGTGAAACACATTTACCTAATATATCTTTCAGGGATTGCTATACACCAAAACTAGGATCTGGAGTGTTAACTATTTTGAAAGTATCATTGTATTCTTTTATCTTTTGAGACAAAACATGTGACCTTGGTAAAAACGGTATTGTCATTGATAACTCATGATATGCTTTGTTTGAAATATTTTGCATATCTTTGACATGCAAAAGTCTATCTAAATTGGTGTCCATATTTGCCTTATGACTGGTTACATTGTTTTCAGTTAAAGAAACTAAACACTTTTGACCATCTGTCCTTTGAGCCTGTACTTATAATGGGTCTTGTTCATAAATGTTCATGAAAGTCAAGGCTTTTTTACAGTCTTCTACCAGCATGTGTTTTCGTTTGTAATGCTGTGATCTGGACAAAGTGTTTTCGTTGGACGACACATTCAGTATTCGATACTTCTTCCCATCCAAATGTGGGGGATTTGTAGACAACTTTCGATTTTTTTTTTAAGAGATACAATTTTAGATTGCAGCCTTTTTAGCCTTTTTGATCACTGATTTATATTTGCGATAATACTCCTTTTTTAAGTTTCTCTCTTTTTCTAATTTAGAAAGCATTGATGGCAAACAGTGTTCAGAAACAACAACTTTGAGATCATAGAATTCATTTTCCCAGGTTACAAGTAGGTGCTTAAATTGCTTTCCCCCCTCTCTCTTAGTCTTATCATGCTTTGATACTAATTTCTTTAAGTAAGACTGTAGGACAGGTGATACTTTGTCAAACAAAACAAATGAGCTATCAAGATGATAAATTGTTTGATAGGCATTACTTAGAAGTTGACGAATGACAAGATAGACACAACTTTTATGGATAACAACTTCTTTAATACTGTGAAAAGCGACGTTTGCTTGACAACGGTATAAGGATCTATACCGAAACGTCGCTTTTCACAGTATTAAAGAAGTTGTTATCCATAAAAATTGTGTCTATCTTATCAAGATGATGTTTGTTGCAGACAAAACCAATGACCCCTTTACAAATATCTTTACTGAAGCTGTTCCCTGTCGGTGTTAGCCTCTTGTATTCTTCTATAAGTGTTAGTTTTGACACTCTTAAGTTTATACTTAGTATATCCCCTTCACCCCCTAGAGCCCTGAGTGGACTTTCCATTGGGCATTTGGAGTTACTAACAAATATCAAAATGATCAAAGTAAAAAATGAACAGTTCATATTTGAGCTCTGTCACATGTTCCAAGTTTAGTTCCAGTTCCAGACATAGTTTGAAATATCAGGGCAGGGTCTTCAAGACAGGCTACACATACTACAATACTCCCAGTGTACACCACAGAAGGTTGATATCCATCATGTTTCCTTTCTCCCTCACAAACTGCATGAAGAAGATAAATCCGCGATGTACCAGTTTTCGTTTCATGTCAGTGGTGTACTCTTCACGGGGTTTTCTCTCATAGACTCCAAAGCGGACAGTTTCCCTGTTGATATAGCCAAAGTCACCAGCTGGGTTTATGATCCTGTACCACCAGTCATGTCCAAAGAGGATGTCTGGTGAGTGTACATCCAGGAAGGTGAATTCACTCCTGTACAGATGTCCAGTCTTCGATTGAAGTGTTTTTGTTGACAGTTCCAATAGAGAGCTAGCAACCTATGGGGATGAGACAGGAAAACGGATGAAAACCAAAGAATCTACACCACATGAGCATGTGAGGTTGTCCGTGATTGAGTTCAAAAGTTGAAATATGAAAATGTCCTGTATGCCTGTCTTCTCCAGGCTTGACCTTACAATGTTTGAGTCCTCAACCCATTGGTCATACTTGGAGGGCCATCCAATGTAGTGAACTTTGTACTTTGTTACTGATCCTTCTTGTTTGGTGTCTATTATTCTGACATCAAAGAGCTGGGTTTTGCTCCATTTTATTTGTGGTTGTGAGGTTGCAAATTACTAGCCTTCATAGTTAGATCTGTATGAAAGTCCAGCCTTTTGTCGACACTTCATCAGGCACAATGAAATTCAGGTCAAATGTGTTTGGTGAGAAAATGTTAGAATATTCATGTGATATATCACACAGTGACACAGCTTGTCTTGTGGGGAAAAAAGGTGTATTGGATCCTAAACAATTACTGGCATGGTACAAAAAAAAATAATGAATGGAGATTAATAGTGTGCATTTCTCTATTAATCTAAAACACCTTCTCTATAAAAATGTGTGTGTGTATGTGATCAACCAAAATTGAGGAGTGATCATAAGTTGAAATATTCGCGGTGATAGTATTCAAACTAGTTGTAATAGTAATCTAGATAGAAGTC